TTGGGCTGAACACAGCATGGATGTGGGCAGGTAGGAATTTATAGCCAAAGAGCAGGCAAGTTGGCAGGTGCAAAACCACTAAGAGGAATGGGGGCACCTGGGTGGCTCAGTTGGTGAAGCGTCTGCCTTTGGCTGGGGTCATGATCCCAGGGTCCTGGGACTGAGCCCCGAGTCAGTCTCCCTGCTCCGCGGGGAGTCGTCTTCTCCCTCTCCCACTCCCTCTGCCACTTGTGTGAGCTCTCTCTCTCTCTCTCAAATGAATAAATAAAATCTTAAAATAATAAAAATAAAAAACACGAAGAGGAAGCATCAGGGTTGAGGGGTTCTGGCTGAGCTGCCCTGACGGGATTCCTGCTGAGGGACTTCACCTTGGGGAAGGTGGGGAATGAGGAACCCAGTTAGATTCAGATTTGGCTGGGTTGGTTCTGGCAAACTGACTTACCAGCGTTCTTGCTAAAAATGGATTTTATAAGAAAGAGCACAGGTCAGAAACCTAAGTTTGGACAAGCAAAGAATCTTTGTCAAAATAATGTCCAAAATATGTCCAGATTTGAACAAATGTAGCAATCCCAGGATCAAGGAAACCAGGCAAGAATAAGTCAATAAAAAATAAAATACCTACTCATACCATAGTCAAACTGCTAAAATAAAAGGCAAAGAACAACAAAATCTTACAATTAACCAGAGGAAAAAAGACATTACATAGAGGGAAACAATGATCAGAATGACCAATTGCTTTTTATCAGAAATAGTGGAGGCCAAAAGATCATGGAATAACAGCTTTAAAGTGTTAAAAGAAAAAAAAATCTCAATCTAGAATTTTATATAGAGAAAAACATCTTCCAAAAATGAAAGGATCTCAAAGATGGGCTCAGATACACCGTTTCTACCTCCGCAAGTTACACACTGTAAGGTGGCTGCAGAGCGCGCCCCGGCAGAGGGAGGGGGGGGCCATGCAGGACGGGGGAGCAGAGCTGCCTCCCGGAGAGAACCCCACCACCCAGGACACCCACAGCAGTGCCTGTGAGCCCACCTCCGCCGGGCCGAGAGGGGCCGCGACACCCTGTCTGGTCGCAGAAGTAGTTCCAAGTAATAGTGGTGCCAACTATCTTTTGGAAATGCCCACTTCACTTAAAGACACCAAAGAAATGTAATCATACTTCCGTTACGAAGATGACATAAATCAGTCCGCAGATCTTTAAAGAGTGTCCAAAGCTCAGATTCAAATTATATTCAAACTATACAGGGTGGTTCACCCCCAAATCAGTGTCCACAGCTGGGCTCCTCACCTCGGGTGACGCTACCTTTCCATCAGCAAGTGCTTCCAAAATGTCTTGAGGAAGTAAGAGCCGGACAACCCAGGAAAGGAGGAAGCCCGAGAGCACCCTCACACTGCCCTGTGCTGTGCCGGCTGGGGTGGTCGTGAAGACCCAGGACGTTCGCAGTCACGATTCCGACACCGGTCCCCTCAGACACGTTGTGGAGGACCGGCGCCTGCCGCTGGGGGTGTCCAGAGGAAACGGCCACCCTAACACCTCTGGCCCGCTGGACACCAGCCCTCTCAGGCACCAGCCCTCCCCCACGACGCCTGTGTCTCTGGCGGGGAACGGGGAGTTAGTGGAGGGAATCGGCCTGTGCATTTTGGGCCCTCCACCCAGGTGTCCTTGGGAGGTGGCTCTGCGGCTTTGGCCAGGCAAGTCTCTGGCGTCCCCAGGCTCGACCTCCTCCTACACCGAACGCTCACCCCAGGACCACCCCACACTACAGACGCCTGACACAGGGACCCAGGGACCCCAGCGGGAATGCGGGGAGACACCGACAACAGCCACTTCTGGGTGGCGCTGTCACACGATCATCAATGCTTCTTGGTCCCCAGTGTCCTAGGCTCCCGGAACTGTGCAAGTGTGCCGAAAATTAAACGGCAATTTTTCACAGAGTAATTCCGTTAGGAGTCTCACACAGAAGTCATCTAGAAATTCAAGCTTTCCTCTCAGGAAAAACAGCTCCATTTTAACCCAAAAGTAGAGTATTTTATTACTTTAATTTAGGGAAAAATCTGGATTCCTTATAAAATGCTAATTCTTACACCAAATAGTGAGGTGCTTCCAGACAGCCGAGGGAAGTCTAATGACAAAATGTCCGCTCACATGTCACACGGCAGTGACACAGCTTCCTCTCACTTCTAATTTTTCCCTACGTTTTCTTGTTGTAACGTTTGGTGACGCGGTGTCTGCAGGAGAGTCGGTACCAGTTGGGCATTTGAAGGACCAGTATCACAGGCCAACAGCCTGAGGGCATCTGCAGGTGTGTGCGCTCTGGGGCTGGGGAGGGTGCATGAGGGGCTGAGGGGCAGGCTGGCCGGCAGCGCTCACTGGGGGGTCGGCATCTGCCCCCCGCCCCTATACGAGGCAGAGATGCCTTGAAAGGACAATTTTATTTCTGACTTTTCCCCTATTTCTGGGTCAGTGTTTGTTGTTCCGTTGCTGTGGAAACACTCAAACTCTGGATTCCTTTTGACTAATAAGTAGATTTCTTATGCATGACCATGAGCAGAACGCACTAATAGATTTGGTCTTTTATTTTTTCAAGTTGAATAGCCACACTTACCCATAATTTCATCACGGGTAACACTTGTTCAGAACTGACACCGAGTAAGCCTTACATTTATTTAGTTCTCATCGTGTACCAGGAATTGTGCTAAACACTTCACATGGATTATTTCATTTAACCTGCACCCCGATTCCATGAGGGAGGTGCCTCAATACCCAATTTCTCGAGGGCCCCCAGTTACGGGCAGGGACACGGAGCGCGGGGAGGCTGAGGCCTTGCACAACCAGACTCCGGCAGAGCATGGCTGGAGCCCAGCCTGAGTGCAGACTACACTCTCATCCCCGTGCTGGCTAGACGCTGTCTCGTGCCCTTCGTTTTCAGACCAACAGGATGTTGGAGCAAGACAGAAAACAGGCCAAAACTATCGATGTTGCCAAAGCCCTAAGTGCAGTTTCCCATATAGTATCCAGTAGAAAAACATGTTAGTCACATCTGAGGAGGCATTTCGTCCACTGACATCAGGGAGAAAGAAACATGGGCGGTAGGGGGGGAGAGGGGTTCGTTGCAGCCCCTGGGTAGGATGCCCTGTGACGAGCAGCTCTTACCAGGCTCCAGGATGAACCCAAAACTCTGGGTCCTTCCCAACAGCCAGTCTTGAGTAAGATGCACACACACTCGTGCACACGAATGTCCACCTATATAAATCCATACGAAAGGATGGGGCGCCCGGGGGCGCTCAGATGGTCAAGCCTCTGCCTTCGGCTCAGGTCATGATCTCGGGTCCTGGGATTGAGTCCCGCATCAGTCTCCCTGCTCAGCGGGGAGCCTGCTTCTCTCTCTACCTGCCGCTCCCCCTGCTCGTGCTCGCTCTCTCTCCCTCTGCCAAATAAATAAACAAATCTATACGAAAGGAAACACTATGAAGGTCACCAGAACCAGGCAGGTTTCAAACATGAGAAAAGCAGTTGAACTCTGGAAGAGAAGACAAAGCTGTCTAGATGGAGAACCTGCTAAATGGCAGATTATCGAGAAGATTCTTGTTCATAAAAACTAGAGGAGTTTCGTGGTCCCCACATTGGAGCACACGGAGCGTCCAGCTCTGCCCATGAGCAGGAGACAAGGATTTCAGAAAACCCCCAACGGCCCAGGCATGCACATGCACACAACCATCTGCTCCCCGGAGCAGGGGCTTGGGGACTGGCTGTGCAGTGGCCGTGGGCGCCGTGGCTCCGTCAGTGGTACAGCTGCGCAGGTCTGGCGTGGGAAGGCCACATCCACTCACCACATCAAACTGCCCAGGGGCCTGCAGACTCATTGCTTCACTGTTTCCTCAGCCAGCTCACAGTCGGACCTGATGTGAGTGTGGCCTCTTTGAGGACTGGGTGTCCAAGACACAAGACTCTGCAGGGAAAGGACTCGATGGGCTGCTTTGGCCTGACATGCTGCCAGGGCTGAATTCAAGCACGAGCCTCGCCCGTCCTGGCTCACTGTTCACTCCCATAAATTCCAGTTGATCTTACTCTGTCATAAACAAAGCTTTTCCTGGAGAAATTGCTTGGTTTGTTAGGACAAAGCCAGTCTGCCTTTATTTTAAGGCCCATCAATTATGCATACACCACACTTGGAGGCTAAGCATCTGTTTGGTTTGGTTGTTTAGCAGAAAATGTGAACTGCGGAGAACCTTCTGTGCCTTCTGTGACGGAGGCATCGGGGTGATACAGTTTAGGTCTTTTCTGTGTGACTTGGAACAAAACTCCTGAATTTACAGGAAAAAGCCTCTCTTCTCCAGCTTTCACGCTTATGCTTAATCAAGTAAGGTTGGGTGATCCTTTGAATACAGTGTGAAGAAAAAGAAGGAATTTTTTCTGAGCTGTTTCTGGCTGGAGGCAGAAAGGGTGAACTATACCCCCATGATAAAGTAACCACAGAGAAGGATGAGCGTTTCCGTTAAAAACAACAGCTAGAACACACAAAAAAATCCAGAAACTAGCCATTGAAATACAAACAGATCTGCCAAGTTAATAAAGAACTACACGGCCATATTAAAGCCCAGGGATAGGTGTGTCTCTCAGAGACGTAGGCACATTAAAATGGCCCACAGGTGGGAAGAAGCGCCCTAGCAACACTGTGTGCACAGGGAAGGCCAGAGTACAAGGTCCAAGCACTTGTAAAAGCTCTTTTCAAGGAGTGAAGACAAATTCTCATTTATAATCTGTCATTCCTACAGAGACAGTCATGGAACCTCGCCCTGAGTCTCTGAAGAGCAGCTGTTCCCCAGCTGGGAGGAACTAGAAGAGCCCAGATCTGGGATGTGCCTGCAGACCACACATCAGTCTTGCTGTGGTGTCCCTCCCCTGCCCCCTACCTCCACCCCAAGGGGGAGATCCTCGTACCAGAAGCGCCGGGCACACTCCCGCAGTGAGGCCCGGGGGAGGCATGTGGTTAGCCTGGAGACTTGCAGGAGAGGTGACGGTGGGAGACGGGGGTCTTAGCCCTCATACACTGGGAAGTTATCAAAGGGCATCAAGCAAGCAAGCGATGGGTCCGTTAACATTTTTTAAGCTCTTTCTAGCTGCTCTCAGGCTAGTGGAGGAAGCATGGAGCTCAGGCTGACCCCGTGACGCACAGCCAGCCAAGCCCGCCGTGGGCAACCCTGAGCTTTGGTGGAGGGGCCTGAACAGAAGACCTCTGTTGGGCGGGGAGACCACATGGAGATGGGTGGGGTGAGGGCACACGGCCAGCTCAGGGGACACTGCACAGGAGCGTTCGTGAAGGAGAGAGACAGAGATGCAGTGAGCCAGCCTCCTCGTGACAAGAGGGCATTGCATAGACTCAGATCCTGCAATGGCACCACTTGGGGAACAGAGCTCCCCACGTTTTTCCCAGCCTGGGTCCTGGAAGAACCAGAATCCAGGAAAAGAGGGAGGAGAGAAAGTACAGATCTGCACCCCCTTCCCCACCGCAGATCAGCAGACCTGGGGAGGTCTGAGCTGGAGGAAACGAAGGGCTTGGGTTGACTGGAGATGGAACTGAGATGGAGCTCACACCAGACAACCCTGGGACCCGGAGACACTGAAAGCCGGTGGGATCCGCCGCAGGCATCTTCCAGGCTGGAGGCTGCTGGACAGACGGGGCCTCAGAAGCACAAGGTGATTTCCCTCAAGTGACCTGCTGTCCCAAGTTCACACTGAACATTTTCAGGCTGTTTTGAAACTGCTTTCGGAGTCCATTTGTCCATCTTCCAAGAAAAGAGCCCCGTGTTTTAAAGTCCCATCACCTGAAGGAAAACATTAATACCACGCCTGAGAACTCATCGTATTCACCAGACTAGATGCCCAATGCACCCAACATGCCTCAAGGGCCGTGGAGAGACGGAAAGTATCGGTGGCTGGAACCCAGGGGGAAAGTGGCTTCGGGAACCGGCAGGCAGGAGGGAAACAGAGAAGGGAATGTCAGCTCGCCTCCCCTCCTGCCGCCTCCTTCCCCAAACCTTCATTTCTGCAAATGAATTCTCCACATCCATCCCCCATGGGCATCTCCTAGCAGTGAGAGGTCTCCTTCCCAAGTAACACAGTAACAGCTGGTGAGGTCCTCCTTCTTTTCACATCGTATAATGGAGTGGGGCTGAGCTGGAAATGAACGGTCACCGCTGACAGTGTGGAGGACATGGATTTGAAATCCCAGAGATATTTAAAGAAGGGTTAGAATAACAGCCATTCATAAACCCAGGATCATTTGCCTATAAATAAATCACGATTATTTAAGAAGAAAAGAGGCTCTATCCGTGATAGGTTACAAAAAAAACCTAACAAGTTAAAACTTGAGTCATCCAGTTATTTGGCATTGAGCAGACAAAATAAAAGAACGTTTTAAAAGACGCAAAAAAGAGTCTAGCTCCTTGTTTATCTGCAGTGTATTGCTACAAGACGGACACAGAGCAGAGAAGGGTTTTCAGTAAACACTTGTTACTAGAGGCACAACACTCAGAGAGAGTACTTATCGAGCACCTTCCATGCAGAAACCGGCCCTGCAACTACAACTACTAGAGCCCACAACTAAGTAACAGATCAGGGCCTCTGCCAACTCCGCAGGGAAAAGGAATCCATGTTCAGGGACAATTTACTACAAAGTAGCTGAACAGGGATGTTGGTGAAACAGAGAAAAAAAAATTATGACACAAATAATGCAATATATGTTAAGAAAAAAAAAGAAGAAGATAGCAGCAGGGGAAGAATGAAGGGGAGTAAGTCGGAGGGGGAGACGAACCAGGAGAGATGATGGACTCTGAAAAACAAACTGAGGGTTCTAGAGGGGAGGGGGCTGGGGGGATGGGTTAGCCTGGTGATGGGTATTAAAGAGGGCACGTACTGCGTGGAGCACTGGGTGTTATGCACAAACAATGAATCATGGAACCCTACATCAAAAGCTAATGACGTAATGTATGGTGATTAACATAACAATAAAAAATTATTGAAAAAAATTATGACAATAAACAGAGATACCAGCCAATCACTGATTCCTCCTTGCTGGTTTTTCACACCCTCATCATCTGCTTCCCACACTTACATAGTAAGTTTTAAGCTTTAAGGACCGCCATTATTAGGAGGTCTTTCTGGAGATTCTACTCTAATAAAACTGCAATCATTTCAACACTAGCTACTTTGCATATAAATTAGAAGCATAATAGATACAAATGGCACCACCTTCCACCATGGATTTTTCTCATGTGTCTTTCTCTAAGCTTCCCTCTTCCTCTAGAGCCTTTCCCAGGGTGTTTATAAAACTGCCCCCACATTGAGAGAGGGAACATAAGCAGGGGGAGTGGGAGAGGGAGAAGCAGGCTTCCCGCGGAGCAGGGAGCCCGATGCGGGGCTCGATCCCAGGGATCATGACCTGAGCCGAAGGCAGTTGCTTAACTGACTGAGCCACCCAGGCGCCCCACCTAGTTACAATTTTAAACAGTTCAAAACATCTTCAGTCTGATGCAGTAAGATAAAAAGTGACTGTGTAGGCAGCTGACTTCCTGTCATGTGCCAGACAATAAAACTGAACAGAGTAGAAATCTCCAAGTATCTCAGACTGCGTCACAAAATTTTCCAAAATTGAAAGGGTTGGTGGTACAAGTTCTTGTAACACAAAGACCACATCCCAGCCACTGAGCAGCTGTCAGAGCTTGTGGCTGTCGTGGCCAAGTGCTATTTAACTGTCCACCAATCCAGCCACAGTGACATGTGGAGCTGCACGAGAGACAGGCAGAAATGCTGGGCGCTGCTCGACACTTCCCAGCAGAAGGCTTCCCACGTCTAGAAGACCAGGAGGCCCCGGTTTTCAGGAATGGCTGTAGAAGGAGCGAGGAGCCAAGGACAGCTCGGGGGACTCTGCACAAGAGCCGGCCGGACTCCATCTCTGCATGACCCCTGGGGACTATGCCTCAGTGCCCCTCTTGGGAGAAGCTGGGTTTGTCTAGAAGGAATGCCGGCCTGCTGTCACGGACCCCGCTGGAGGGAGGCCGCAGGAGGTCTCCCCCTCTGGGGCAGCAAAGGGGGCCAGGCTGGGTGGAGGACCGTGCGGCCCTCCCAGGGGCCCCTCACCTGTCTGGGACATTATTAGAACCACCAAATGCCTGACACTGTGCATTTGGGTGCAGCTGGGGCGAGGGTTGTTTCACAACCAGCTGCACTGAGTACACGAAGGCAGAGGGCTCTCAGGGATGCCCGGGAACCGAGAGGTAGTGACCAGCAGCCCTGGCAGGACGGGGTTGAGTCCATCCACTGAAAAGCTTGGGGTCAGGGAGGCGTCCCCTGCATCTGAGCTGCCACATATGGACAAACAGACAACAATGTCCACTAAAAAGGTGTACACTGTGGGGTCTGGTGTCCCTTTTCCCTGGAATAGCACGAACTTAGTGTGAGCCTCACACTGTAGAGGAGGGATAGGGTGGCAGTGCCCTGGACTGTTGGACGGTGAGAGAGACCCCGGGCTCCAGGCACTCGTGGTCACAGGCTCAGGCCCTGCCCGAAGCACTGAGATACAGAGGGGTCCTCAACGGCTCAGTTTGAGGAAGGAGAGCAGCTACCCCTGCCTGTGGAACATGGCTCAATGGTTACACCGAGCAGGCGCGGGCCAGCCCGGATGCAGGACCTAACAGACGGTCCCACACAGCCACGGGGGGCTCCCCAACGTCGAGAGCCAGAGCCGTAAGTCAGCACTGTCAGAAATGGAATCTGAAAACTTGTGTGATCAAAGTTTGGACAGTATGAGGAAGAGAATGGTGATAGTACTTCGGGATCGCCCGTTTTACAAAAGCATGGGTTTAGGGAAGATAGTGAAGTGTGGATAAGGCCAGGTTTGGGAGACGCAGGGGCCCGGGGCCAGCCAGCGGGACGTGGGGGCACCGGCGTTCACACCGGAACAAACAAGTAGACAACAGAGTGTTCAGGCCCAGGCCAGGTTCCGGAGACTGACGGAGAACCCAGCCACAAGGAAGACGCCCCACTCCAGGAAGAGGCCGTCAGGTGAGCCTTTCCCGCCCTCTCCAGCCCCGAGCAAGCTTGGTCTTGGGTCGGAGTCTCCAGCCACTGAGGCAGACAAGCCAGGGCGAGCAGAATGAGACACCGAGTAGCCACCCCCCAGACACAGCGCTCATGCCGACCTTCGCCACCCCATGCGGGTCATGGCGGGGTTCTCACGTTGGCCCACAGCAACCTCTAAGATGAGTGGACCGAGGGGGTGGAGAACATCGCCCCCATTTCATAAGCAGGGAGTGGGGTGTGAAGTGGATTGACTTGTCCAAAGACAGGGGAGCTGCGAGCCTCAGCCTCCTGACTCCCGACCCTCCATCTTCCCACCTTTCTCCCCTCACTTTGTGGCACAAGACTGAGGATAAAGCAGGAGAGTGTGGTTCTCTCTGGCCCTGGCTTGCCTGAAGAGTGCCTCCTGCAAAGAACAGGCCCTGACCTTCAGCTGGACACATTTCCAGCCTCCCGGGAGCAATCAAAGCCCACGCTCTTACAGGCCACCTGCTCTCACTTCCCTCCTTCCACTCCTGTGGCCTAAAATGTGGCAGCGGCAGCAACGTGGGGTGGGCTCTAGGGCGGAGGAAGCCTGAGCATGTCCCCAGGAAGCCCCCAGGCCAGCTCTGGAATCCTGGGCTCAGGCGTGTTCTAGACCAGGGCTCCGGAAACGTTTTCTGTGAAGGGCCAGAGAAGAAAGGCGGCCCATGCCGGCCCAGCCCTTGCACCCAACTTGGTGCTGTCACATGAAAGCCGACTCATCATCGAGGAGCTTGGCTGTATCCCAGTGGAACGGCCCCCACAAAGAGGGGAGCCAATGCTGGCTGACCTGTCCTGAGCGAGAGAAAAGTAAATTCTATCATCGTTTAAGCCGTTGACCCAGGGTCACTTACAAATCCTATGATAAAATCAAATTTGACAATCCTGAGTATGGTCTATTCCAAAATTACCAAAACAGCAGCAGGACAGTTTAAAGATAATGCTCAGTTATACCTTCCTGCAGAGCCCCACAGGCAGCCTTATTTCTGTCCAGATGCCTTTGGTCACCCTGCTCCTGGTGACAAATGCCCTCCAGCTGCTTCTCCAGAGGTCTGGTGGTCTGCCACCTCCGTGTGGCTGAGGACGGCTGTGTTTACACTGTTACCACACACACATCAGGGGCCACAAGCTCAGCAGGAGCCGAGTAGGCTGTGCAGAGATGGGTGGGGGCTCTACTCTAGAGACCCTGGACCCTGGGAAATATTCAAAGTCAAACATTTACAAAACACTACAAAGGTCAGACAAAATGCTTCTGCAGGCAGGACCCCTGACTGCGCTGGAGTTGGGCTTACACTCATTCACACACGTACACACTCGCACACACATATGCATGCACACATACGCACACACTCGCACACATGCATCACAGTTGTGTGCACACATGCACTCACACACTTGCACACACTCGCACGCACACATGAACACACACACACACCTGCTTCACACTCGGATGCACACTTGCACACACTCGCACGCACACATGAACACACACGCACACCTGCATCACACTCAGATGCATACATGCACACTTGCACACACGTTTCCCTACCACCCTAGGGCCTGTCCTGCCCCAGCAGCACCACACAGCCCGTCCAGAGCCACCCCTGTAAAGAGGTCACTGGGACACCGGCTACAACTCTGGAGGGTGAAGAGCCTGAGCACGTGATCCAGGGGAAGACACAGGACGATGTGCTCCCAGCCTTCAGTTTGCAGAGCAGTGCAACTA